CATCATTGCATTAGTATTGTGTCACTCTATACCCGGGCATATAATCTTTTCTTGATCTCGCCTCGTTCAGCCGGCGACTCGTGAAAGGGAAGCCGCCGCGGCGCACCGGGCAAAAAATTATACGCTTGACTGGTCCTACAGCCCCCTTCCCCAGTGGTGGGGATGACGACTTCACACTTATCGTGGCCCAGCCGGCTCACACTTATCGAGCCATTCCTGTACTTGAATTAGTTACTGGTCAATGAATATCGTCGATCCAGAATACGTGAATTCTATGGCTTCGTCGATGATCTATAAGTATAAACCATTATTAACAAGAAATAATTATTTTTACGTTTGTATTAATTTTTAAATTACATACGTTTTCACGTTAGATCCATAGAAATCGCCATTGTTACGCTGTTTCTTCTTCGTCTGCATGATGTATATGTTTTACGTGGCACGACTACAAAACGTGGTTGCAGCGCATAGACTGATACATAGTATACATTGCTTGCCAAATGCTATATGTTTATCCCCACCATTCCTCATACAGCACTGCAGTCGTGTGCCACGCTGATAGCAGGATATTTCAGTACGAATGGAGAAGGAAGGACGGGGAAATAATAAACGATACAATAATTTTGTGAAATTGAAAATGTTCATTAAAAAGAAAAAAGAAAAAAGAAGAAAGAAAAAAGAAAAAAACAAACAATAAAATATATATTAAAAAGAAATAGAAAAACTTAAACTATAAAATGCATATTAAAACCTTAAACTAGCTTCTGTTGCTAGAATAGATATAAAAGATAACCCCATATGTGAATGCACCCAAGGACTAGAAGACCTGAACCACTTAATATGACAGTGCTGTCTCTACAACAGTCAAAGAACAGACTTAATTAACAATCTGAGAAAATTTAAACTCCAACTACCTCTCCAAATAGAATACTTAATCAAGAGTCCAAACACAAGCTTGTAAGGACATATTCAAATTTTTGAAGCAATGTAATAAAACTGTATAAAGTCACAGAGTCACTCACTACGCATAAATCGTAAGGTACAAAATCTAATGTAATATAATATGTAGAAATAATCAATATAATGTAATAATTCTTAATCCTTAATGTAAAGCAGATGTGAGCTACAATTTAGGCTTGAAATGCTTAATAATAAAAAAAAACCTTCATCTATAAAATGTTTATTAAAATGAAAGAGAAAAACTTAAACTATAAAATGTGTATTAAAATTGTTTCTGAATAAAAATGTAAGAGACGCGTCCGTCCAAAGTAAATAGGACAGGGCGCTCTCGCACCATACTGCGAGCCTGTCAAAGATTGCATGCGCCCAACGCCGATTTCCTAGTTTCGTCCCTGAATTTCGTGACCGTGGTACGTTAGAGCGCGTGCGTTAACGTACTTACGGAATCTGCGCAACTCTGTTCGAACTATCGATTATCTATCGATATTTCGCGGTGATCGATATTCTTGGAACCAATTCGGCGCTTCTCCGAAAAATCCTAACGAATTTGAACTAAAACCAGTAGAAACTTCGCTGCTCGCCGAGCATTCTGTGGTAAACATTTGTAGTAATCGCAGACCTTAACAAACTTCTCATTTTTCAACTCGTGCATTAATTATCGCAACACCACAAGTGTTATATTTATCACTCTCGACACTCGAGTACAATTGAAACGAAAATCGGCGATTAGTGTAAACGCTTTTCGTGATCGCCTAGATTTTTCATGTACGGCACTCACGATCACTCCTTCGCGGCTCTCCAGTGCCCACCGAGTGTAATCGTGTTTTCGTGAGACATTGTTAAGACTCTCAACAATAAACTGTTCCGGCCAAACTCCGGTGCGTTTTTTTGCTGCAACACCACATTCACTCCGTATCGTTTTCAGGATAGAACTAACTATCCTAGAGCGGTCGTTTCAATTCAATGATCGACTCGGCATGCGATAAACTGGCAGCATAAACAAATATAAAAAATAAAAAACTATAAAAGTCTATAATTACTATTTGTCAGAAAATGTTGCAACTTAAACACGTTCTCCATGGTGCATACGCCACGATGCACCATGGAGTAGCGGAAACTATTAACAGCGCTCATGTCCACGAAGGGGGAAACCTTCAGCTCCCGCGCTGTTGTGCAATCTATCGCGTCCTCGATGTTTTCGACAACAACGTGCGGCCCAACCAAAATCGAGATTTCTCGCCGTTTTTGGACGCCACGTACTATTACTTGGCCTACTCTATAGCGGACGATGGGGTCCTGAATCACGTCATGGACGTGGTGATACGGGATGTATCTGTTAGGGTCAAAAGAATGTTTTAGTCAACAGTTCAGGTAAGTGTTGAAATCAACGCGGGTGAGAAACGAATATTACTAATTTAGAGAACTTACCCATCACGTCAGGCGAATCCATGAACCATCCGGGTTGCCTATATGTATACAATTCGTCAACTCGTCAAATTCCAATAAATGCATGGCATATGGGGGCATGAACACCCAATGCCCCATACGATTGTTGTTAATTAGTATGGCAACCTCCTTAACAATAAAGCAGTTGTCCGTCCAGAAGCCAACGATATCCATTAATACGGATTCCATTTTTTCAACGATGCTGGTGATCACTGACTAAAACAGTGGTACACACTTTAACGTAATTGTTCAGGTGCGCTTCATAAAGTGAGCTACTGCCCTTAAGGACACGTTGCCCAACCATGGAGTTATGTTGAAAACACACGACGTAACCAAAACGTGGCATAGTTTCATAGAATTGAACACACGATGATTATATCAATATTCACAACATCATCCGTGTCTCGTATTATCTGACGTTGAGATACCTCGTGCAGGTCGAAAGTTTTGAGAACTTAATCTTGTATATGCTTCGAATTTAGCTCTTCGAACGGTGGGAACAACTGTTATCGTAGAATGATGTCAGTAGTGCGAGTACCTTCTTGACAGGACTTTTGCATTCATTCGATATAGATTTTATTGGGTACTTAGAGACTTAGTGAACACATTTAGCTCAACTCCCAACGTCAAGCGTTGTTTAAAGCGACATCATGGATATCATTAAAAAGCTTTTTCATACATTAACATCAATGTCCACATTGATACGAACCGTCAGCGAGTATTATGTATGGAGCAGTGAGTGTGATAAAAGTTTAGAACATATCATCGACTACCTGGTGAAAAATGATTTACCGATGAGTGCAAAACGTCGTATAACAATCGTTATTTGTCGAATAAAGAATTTGAGAGTTTTGATGCGTAAGAGACACTCGCGTGTGGGTAGTGGTTTATTCGATAGAACCCGTGGAGCTAAAGCATCGTCTCTCGTTTGGGAGAACACTGAGTCCGCATTTAAGAGTCGCATTTTCATCGATGCGGTTAACAACGTGGAGCATATAGATCCTGGTTAATTTGTACAATATGTGCGACAAATCGTACTCAGCCGTGTTACTGCCGCTATCAAGGAGCATGTATCCATAAAAGTGAATGTGGTGTTGGAAGCTGAATTTATATTGCGAGGTGTGATTGACATCAAAAGTTTCAACACGCGTAATTATGAACTGGTCAAATTATCCGATGTACATCGGTGGTACTCGGATAATGTGATGCAGTCAATTTTAGCTTCAATGGAAGAATTTCAAGAACGTGATAGTGGGTAGGCTTTATCGAGAATATTACACCTCTTGATAAATGTCAACAAAAACGAGCATCTGCATGCGGGATGTTCAGTTTCGCTACCTCGAGCAGTACAGACTAAAAAAGTTGTTGTGAACATAAGCCGTGACAATAACGAATGTTCCTTTTGGTCAGTTGTTGCAAGTCTTTATCCTGTCAGTACATATGCAAACCGTATATCCTCGTATTCGCACTATTCAAGCGTGCTTTGTAACAGTGAAATTCAACTACCAATGACGTTGAAACAGGTGGGCAAGTTTGGAAAACGTAACAACATCTCAATAAACGTTTACGGGTGGATACAGAATACGTGTGTGCCGCTACATTTGACTTCCGAGAAGAAGGACAGACATGCTAATTTGCTACTCATCGAAAATTTGAAGGATCCATCGCGCCATCATTTCGCATGGATAAGGAATATGTCGAGATTGATTTCCAAACAGATCAATAATAAGCAACACGCGAGATATATTTGCGATCGGTAAGCAAAAAAACTTTTCATAGATGATGCAACTACACTTCCCCGATCAAACCATAACGTTATTTTTTATTTTCCGATATCTCCACTACTTTGACTTGCAAGAAAAACTGGATGCTCACCTTATAGATTATAGCCGAATGAACGACTGCGCGATAATACTTCCAGCGGAAACCGATAAATGGCTACGATTTAAAAATTATCGTTACAAGGAGCGTGCGCCTTTCATCGTCTACGCAGACTTGGAGTGTTTCCTGGAGGACGTTACACCGAAACAGCAGGGCGGCAAAACTTCTTCGCTGTATCAACATCATCGTGCATTCAGCGTGGGTTATTACGTCCACTGCACCTACGATGCATCGTTATGTAGGTATCATTCTTATGGTCACGAGTCGGAATGCATCGAGTGGTTTGCGAAGGAATTGTATGAGTTGGGATCTACATAGGATAGAAACGGTGGTTGAAAGGACGATTCCGATGAATCCGCTTACCGTGGAACAGTCGTTAATCTTCAATCGGGCCACCTATTGTCATGTATGCGAAAAAACTTTCCGCGATCATTGTCATTTTACCGGGACGTATCGAGGTCCAGCGCACTTGTAATTTAACCTACCAAACATCATTCACGGTACCCATCGTTTCTCATAATTTATCCGGTTATGACGCACACTTTATAATTAAAAAGCTCGCCACTGTGTCGATGGTAAAGTAGACTTGCTTCCGTTAACGAAAGAAAAATATATTTCGTTCACGAAACATGTGGCCGAAATGGGAACAAATAATACGGATCCGCATGCGAAGAAAGAGAAGTGCGTTAAATTTCGATTCATAGAATGTTGATATGATACTGTTTGTTGAGCGAGGTATACGTGGTGGACTTAGTCAATGTTCTCACAGGTACGCGTGCGCAAATAATAAATATTTACCCTCGTACAATCCATCGAAAGTTTCCACGTATTTAATGTATTTTGATGTTAACAATTGGCAGGATTGGACGTAAGTTCCATTCCAATAGACGATCCGACCGGATATCTCCTGAACGTTGATTTGAAGTATCCGTGTGAAATTCACGACGTACATGCAGATCTTCCGTTCTGTCCGAATCACGAGAAGGCAAACGTGGGAGGAATTAAATTACTAGCCACGCTCAATGATGAAGTACGATACGTGATACATTATCGGTATCTGCAACAGTGTTTGAAGCACGGGTTAAAACTGCTTAAGATACATCACGTTCTGCAATTCGATTAGTCTCAATGGCTATGTAGATACATTGATTTGAATACTAAATTACGCACAAATGCAACAAACGAATTTTCAAAAAATTTATTCAAGTTAATGAATAACGCAGTTTTTGGGAAAATGATGGAGAACATGCACAATCACACGGATGTGAAACTAGTTACGCAATAGGAGGGGCGCTACGGTTCCGAGGCTTTGATCGCAAAACCTAATTTCCATAGTCGTCTGTAATACTGTTCTTGCGAGCGATTTGATAGCTATAGAATTAAAGAAATTAAATGTTAAACTTTTTAAACCTATTTACGTAGGAATGTACATCCTCGATATATCGAAAACATGTTTGTATGATTATCATTACAATTATATGCTTCCAAATTTTTACGAAAGATGTAAAATTTGGTACACTGACACGGACAGTTTGATTTGTGAGCTTAAATGCGAGGACGCGTATGGAATTATGAAGCGCGACATACATCGATTCGATACAACCGACTATGCCGACGTCAACCCATACGGTCTTCCGCGTATGTATAAGAAGGTGCCGGGTTTGATGAAGGATGAGAACAACGGTACGATTATGACTGAATTCGTCGGATTACGACCCAAGATGTATGCCACTCGTGTACATGGTATGAAAGAATGCGTGAAGAAGTTAAAAGGTATTGGGCGAAGAGTTACGGAGAAGAGTATATAATTCGAGGATTAGATTAAATGTCTTAACGATATTGTGGAGAAGACTGTTCAGCAGAATCAAATTATGACTATACAACACAATGTATACACGATACATGAACAACAATTAGCTCTTAGTCCGTATGACGATAAACGGAAAATAGATCACAATTCACCGCGAATACTCCCTTGGGGATATTATAGTTTAAGCGAAACATTGCATAATGTATGAAATCAATTTATTAAATGAACGTTGTAATACATCATTTTTTTTTATCCATGAATTATAAGAAGCGTCAAATCCCAACCACTTTACATACAGCTTGTTTCCTTTCTTACGTGTCACTTTCCCTATCAGATGTAGATCCGGATACTTTGGCACGTGTAATTCCTGTTCGTAGAACCCTCCAGCCATAGGATCACCTTTCTAATCGGACAATAAATATGTAATCGGATTTGTTCGATTTACCGAGACAATTTCCAACACTTCCGTTGACTGATTCGGTGTGTACCCTTTGTCGAACACCGTTTTAAAGTTGCTCACGCGTATTTTCTCAATAACTTTGAATTTTGCCGTTTCAGTGATTTTCAACTTGCTGTATACGGATCGCGTTGTCGTGGATTACGTCAATCTGCCGCATTCCTATTGTACGATGCTTTCGTTGATTGTAATCTGATACGAACTTGGGAAGACTGTCCAACCAACGATACGATCCGTTCAACGAGAACAACTTCCACATTGCATTCTTCAGGGTACGATTGAAGCGTTCTACCACGGAAGCTTTCATGATACTAAAACGTTGAGTAATGGTTGATGTTATGTTCCTTCGTACAATTTTCTTGAAAATCATTATTATAAACTTCTTTTACCATATCCGTCTGCAAATTGCTTCTGTAGGCGGATCAAAAAGATGGCATTTCGTTTTGGGAATCGTTTACCAAGACTCGTCAGTGGGGCTGACGGTAGACGACCCCTATCCCAGACGCCTGGGTTACTCCTGGGCGGAGCCCCTGGGGACACGAGGGCTGGAAGGGTCTCGTCTAGGCATGTTGCCTGGGCGAGAACTCCGATGGAGCTGATGTTCCACCAACACCCGGTCGAGTTTGCTCGTCCGGTGCGGGGAATTTCGGCGAAGTTGGGGGCTCGACCGGCTCAAAGTCCACTCACCGCACCTCCACGTGGGGTCCCCGGGTCTCCGCCTCAGTAGCTGGAACCGCTTTGCGGGCACCAGATTGC